TCCGACGCCCTCGGCTGAGGGATTTTCCCCTCGTCCGAGGGAGCCGAGCGTCCGAGGGTCCGAAATGGCCGAGGGCGCCGAGGGCGCCGACGGCCGCTGATTGGCCAGGCACGCCCGGCGCGCTCGAACCGTGACTGCAAATCTCTGGCCATCCGTCGTTGGAAGGTTATGAGGGGGCGCGGCAGCCCAAAGGCGCAGCCCTTGGGCGTCCCTGGGCGCGCCGTGGGTGCCGGCATTGACGCCCACGGTCGCGACGGTCCCCGAGACGGGGCGCAGCCAAGAGCGGCGGCCGTGCGGCGCTTTCCCCTCGCGGCGCCGTGGGCTGCCTACACGTCGGCGCGGGCACGAGGTCCTGTCGGTCCTAGGCCGCGCAGTCGCCCCAGTCGATGATGGAGCGTGGCCCGGGGGCGGCCAGGGATGATCTCTGCTGGCTGCTGACGCTGGTGCTGCCGTGGATCATCACGGAGTCTCCGTCGGACCGCCGCGGCGCCCGAGCCCCGACCGGACGAACTCGACGATTTCGAGTCTCACGACCCAGCCCTTGTACCGAGACGACGCCTGGGTGACGATGAACGATTCCCGATGCTGCAGTGATTCGAAACGAGTCGATGGGTTGGGAGGCGTCGAGCGCGCCCCATTCGAGCCTCTGAGAACCGCCCGCCTGTTCCCCGACGCCATCGCCTGGACGTCCCGTTTTCACCGGCGCGTCGTCCGTCAGGATGCGGCCCATGCAGCCACAGAGATCGTTGCGCATCTCCGCGTATTCGCTGAGCGGCGCGGGTGCAAAGCCTGTCATAAACACATCACGCAGCCCCGGACATCCAGCGCCCCGGGCCGGGGGTCACCAACGGTTCGCCGCCCTCGTCCGATGGACGTGCGCTCGTCCGACGGCCGCGCGCTCGTCCGACGGCCGAGTCCTCGTCCGAGGGCGCCGATCCGCCGTCCGAGGGTCCGAGGGCGTCGGCCGAGGGGGCGGCGCCCTCGTCCCGAGGGCGCCGAGGGCGCCGAGGGCGCCACTGACCCCCCTCAACACGCACAAGACACCACACACACAGGAGCACCCTACCCTGCCTTCACCATCGGCCTTACCGAGCCTCTACCGGCTCTACTGGTCCTCTCACACATTCCTAACATACTTTGTGTCTCTCTGGGTTATGGGCCCACTATGCGCTCCTGCGCGCGCGCCCGGCTAGCCGCCGGGCGCAGCCTGCTCGCGCGACACCCACCGGGTCCCTCGCGCAGCAACAGGGCGCTGCGAAGCGTCCTGCGGCACGGCAGCGCGGCGAGGCAGCCCGCGCCCCGCCGCGCAGCCCATTTTTCGCCGCGGCTCTGGCCGCGGCGGGGCGCGGCTCCTCCTGCCTTCCGGGGGAGTCGCGCGCGGCGCCCTTCGGCGTCGCAGGCCCGGAGCCACCTCCGGCGCCAAAACGACACGCGCGTCTTCCGAACGGACGAGAACGC